AGAAAGTGCTACAGCTAGCTTCTGCTGCCCTTATTTACAAACATAACTCAGTGTCAACAAAAATTTTTAAATTTGATGATGATGGTTTTAGGAATGGAAGAAATGAACTCTGTTCAGATTAGCTGTTAGCTTGTCATGATTAAATTTTGATTGGTTTTGTCCTAAATCAGGTTGCTCACAGAGCTGTCTACAGCAGGTGAGATGTTTACTCTTCATTAATTTGCCACAGAATGAGCGTCAAAAGATCTGCGCTATTAATAATGTGAATGTTTATGAAGCAGTCACACTGTTGTGATCCATTTTTCTTCTGTACGTTTTTCAGCATCTTTCTCGTTCCACAGTTTTTTGTGATATTTCATCAAATCATTTATCAAAACGTTCAGCTCTTTCAGGACAATCCTGCTGTCTTTTGGAATTGGTATAGCTTTAGCTTTTTGAAATATTTAGCCTTTTCTGCCATTTTATTCTCGTAGAAAATGAATTGAGCTCATAGCTCTGTTTACAACCTTTTACTGCTCCTTTCACATTTTGTCCTGGTTCAGCTTCTTTCAGCTTCCTTGTGCAAATTTAACATCCCCCCCCCCCACCCCCCCCCCCTCTCACCCCTTTTTTTCTCCCTTTTTTTTTTTTTCTTTTTTTTTTTTTTTTTCCTTTTTTTTTTCAAAATTTAACCCCCCCCCCCCCCCCCCCAACTACTTTCAGCTGTTTTGTGCTCCTTTTTATATTATTTCTGCTAACTATAACATTTTTGTGCTTCTTCTAACTTATTTCTGCTGATTTCAACTCATGCTTCTTTCAGCTTATTTATGCAAATTTGAGCTTTTTTGGCCATTTCAGCTACTATTAAGCTGTTTTTATGCTTTTTTTTTTTTTCACTAATTTCGACTTTTTTCAGCCTTATTCATCAAATAGGTGCTCCTTCCATTCCCTTCTGGAAATTTAAGCTTATGGATTTTTTTTAGCTACTTTTCAGCTGCTTTTTTGGTCATTTCAGCTTTTTTCAGATAATTTTCACTTCTTTGTGCTCATTTACGCATTTTTCAACAAACGTGTTATTTTTTGCTTTCTTCTGCTAATTGAAGCGTGTTCTACTTTTTCAGCTACCTTTTTTTTTTTTTTTTTTTTTTTTAGCATTTTTAGCTAATTCAAGGTTTTTTGTGGCAATTTCTGCTACTTTCAGCCCAAAATAACTTTTTTTTTTTTCAAATTTCATCGCGTTACATTCCTTTCAGCTCTTTTTTTTCCTGCTGGTTTCAGCTTTTTCTGCTATTTCAGCTACTCTTTAGCTGTTTTATGCTAAATTTAGCTTTTTCATCTAATTCCATGTTTTTAGCTACTTTCAGCTTCCTCCACTTCTAGCAGTTTAAGCTTCTTTCAACTTTTTCAGCTACTTTTCAGCTATATTTTGCTAAACTCAACCTTTTTTTATAAGCTACTTTACAAATTTTTAGCTAATTTCTGCTTATTTATACCTAAATCAGCGAATATGTGTTCTGTCAGCTTTCTTCTGCTAATTTAGGCTTGTTCTTCCATTTCAGCATGTTTTTTGCTAATTCCAGCTGTTTTACAGCAAGTTCTTCCCCAATAAGCATTAACACTGTATTTTCACAGGAAATTCAATTTCTCTAGTTTATTGTTGTTTTAAATATCAAGTTTTGTTTTTTTCTTGTAGATGAGCCTGACAGCGGAGCAGTGGAATGACCATCGGCCACGTGTCCTCAGCTGTGAAAAACTCTTCAGGGAGAACTACTCCTAAGGCAAAATTTACTTTTCAACACTTGAGGCTTCTGCGTCACCACTTTTCTCCTTTCTCCGCGAGCGTCCTTACAAACACGTTGAAACGTTGTGCTTCGGACTAGCGTGCGTCCATCTCCATTCACGGTGACTCTCCTTCAGGAGCTGCTGTTAAATGTTGAATGTTTTGCACAACAGTCTTGATCCGAACGTAGTTTATTGTTTAAGCTTTTTTTAATAAAAAATGATGACGCACGTTCACGAACCGTCTCGTGTGGTTTTATTTTTGTTTTTCAAAGATAACATATTTTTAAACACGGTTTGCCTAATATTTTTTTTGTGGTTTCTACATTTTATGTGGCTGAGGTGGACCTTAATTATTGCGTCATTACCTATATAAAGACAAATAATAATCAGATTAAACTGTTTTCATGTCAAAGAATTAGTATTTCCAATCATTCTCTTTTAATTTGGCTTCTGGAGACCATCTTTAAAACACTTACACTGACTGCAGCACTTGGAGCATGTGTTGGGGAAGACTCTCCACTACTACCACGCCATATTTTAGCACATTTGTAAAACGGACTGAGTTTGCTTATATTTGCTAAGGTTGATGAGCTGTGGTGGCCATTTTGAATTGGTCTGACTCCCAAGAGTAAATCTGTCCTCTTATCCCAGGGGTTCCAAACACTGGTCCTTGAGGAACACCGTCCTGCATGTTTTAGTTGTTTCTCTGCTCCAGCACACCTGATTCAGTGGTTTAAT